AGAGATAGACCCTTCACCTCATACACACATGCATATATATATATATATATATATATATATATGCATGTACACACACACACACACACACACACACACACACACACATATATATATTTCATACCACAAAGCACACCTTACAGCAGTTAAATAGGAGCTGTATGCCCACCCTTTCAAAAATTAACCATAGTTTGCTACAAATAAAACCAAAAAAACATGGTTACTATAGTTAAACCATGGTAACCACACATTAACCGTAGTTTAACCATGGTATTTGTAGTAAAACTGTGGTTATACAAATGTTAATCAATACGCCAAAAAACATGGTTACTACTACATTGACTATAAGGGTAAACACCATCACTGTGATACTAATAGACTAAAAGTTACAAAAAAACAATTATTGCCAAAAAGGTATTTAAAGGCACAATATGTAATTTTTCGCCGCTAGAGGGCGTGTATTCAAATTAAACAGAATCAAAGGCGTAGTTTGATGACGGCGTGACTGAGTGTGGAATCATGGGAGTTGTGGTGTTCATCCCCACAGCCGAAGCAATCCGACGGGACTCGGGCAGAACTCATGTTCATGGATGAGGTAATGATTTAATAACGTAGTAGAATAAAGCAGGGTGAGGCTGAAAGCCGTCGAAGCGAAACGAGGTGCTGAACGAGCGTGACACACGGCTCGAAAGCAGCGGAGCTTTTATTATGCCACAGTCGACCGCTTCCGCTCCTTCCGGTCGTGTGTATGTGGGGTAAAGCAGCGCTGTTTTATCATACTAGATACATTTGAACGTTCTGTTATAATGCTACTCTGTGCAGTCGTCACCGGTCTATTAAAACACACAACATATTAAAGCGTCTTTGGTGTTTCGAGGAAAATCGAGGGGTTGTGAGGTCATTGGCAGGCGACACAATGACACTATATGGACACGGTCCGTGTCACTAGTTAAAATTTCTTATTTCTCTGGATTTAAAATATATATTTAAAAAAACTATATACAAATTAAATGAATATAAAAATATATAATTTTATATATAAATCAAATTATATATATTTTATATGGTTTATTTGTATATAATAAAATATATTAAATATAAAATATATAAAAATATTTTATAAATATTAAAACCCGCTGGACTTGTTGATTGTCGTCTCATCAGGTAAGGAGAGCTCTGGTGCCGGTGCTGTCGATGAAGAAGACTTCATCCGTGCCTTTAAAGATGTGCCCGCTGTACAGGTGAGCATTTGTAGCATGAACAACAGCGAAGCACTTTGTAACATTTATAATGTTACAAAATATTTCTGTTTCAAATAAATGCTGTTCTTTTGAACCTTCTATTCATCAAGGAATCCAAAAAAAAAAGATCACAATGTAACAAAATGTATGCTACTTTCTACAACATTGAGTGAATCTTGAGCAGCAAATCAGGTGATTTCTGAAGGATCATGTGACGCTGAAGACTGGAGTAATGATGCTGAAAATTCAGCTTTGATCACAGGAATAAATTACATTTTAATAGATATTCACATAGAAAACAGCTATTTTAAATTGTATTACTATTTCACAATTTTTACTCTATTTCTGATCAAATAAATGCAGCCTTGGTGAGCAGAAGAGACTTCATTAAAAACATTTTTAAAAAAATCTTACTGACCACAAACTGCATCTAAATATATCTGTGTGTCAGTAACTCAAAGAATCATCGACACTGCACCAATAATGACATGTCTGATTCAGTGGTTTTCCATTAGAAATCTCTGGACAGATGCCAGTTTTCAGTGAGTTTGATGACGCTGTTGATTCTCACAGATTTACTCGGCTCGAGAGCTTGAGGACTCCATGAACAAGATCCGAGAAATTCTCTCTGATGACAAACACGATTGGGAACAGCGAGTGGCTGCAGTGAGTGATTTCACATTTATAAAAGAATAAAATGGCTGCTTGTTACCCCTCTCTCTGGAATACTTAATTGTGATTGGTTGATGGTTGATCATTCTTATGTTGGTGTATAATGACTCTAAACTGTAACAAAATAAATAAGGTAATTGCGGCTTTTTATCTCACAATTCTGACTTTTTTGTTTCTTTAAATTCTGAGTTTATATCTCACAATTGTTAGTTTATATCTCGCAATTCTGAGTTTATATCACAATTCTGAGTTTATATCTCACAATTCTGAGTTTATATCTCAATTCATTAAAAAAAAAATCTTACTGACCACAAACTGCATCTAAATATATCTGTGTGTCAGTAACTCAAAGAATCATCAACACTGCACCAATAATGACATGTCTGTCTGTAATGTGGAGTGTCAGTTTGGACTCAGGATTCAGTGGTTTTCCATTAGAAATCTCTGGACAGATGCCAGTTTTCAGTGAGTTTGATGACGCTGTTGATTCTCACAGATTTACTCGGCTCGAGAGCTTGAGGACTCCATGAACAAGATCCGAGAAATTCTCTCTGATGACAAACACGATTGGGAACAGCGAGTGGCTGCAGTGAGTGATTTCACATTTATAAAAGAATAAAATGGCTGCTTGTTACCCCTCTCTCTGGAATACTTAATTGTGATTGGTTGATGGTTGATCATTCTTATGTTGGTGTATAATGACTCTAAACTGTAACAAAATAAATAAGGTAATTGCGACTTTTTATCTCACAATTCTGACTTTTTTGTTTCTTTAAATTCTGAGTTTATATCTCACAATTGTTAGTTTATATCTCGCAATTCTGAGTTTATATCACAATTCTGAGTTTATTGAAATTCTGAGTTTATATCTGGCAATTCTGAGTTTATATCACATTTCTGAGTTTATATCTCACAGTTCTGAGTTTAAATAGCAATTCTGAGTTTATATCACAATTCTGAGTTTATATCTGGCAATTCTGAGTTTATATCTCACAATTCTGAGTTTATATCTCACAATTCTGAGGTTATATTGCAATTCTGAGTTTATATCACAATTCTGAGTTTAAATCGCAATTCTGAGTTTATATCGCAATTCTGAGTTTATATCACAATTCTGAGTTTATATCTCACAATTCTGAGTTTATATCTCAATTCTGAGTTTCTCATAATTCTGAGTTTATATCTCAATTCTGAGTTTGTCTCATAATTCTGAGCTTATATCTCAATTCTGAGTTTATATCTCATTCTAAGTCTATATCTCAATTCTGAGTTTATATCTCAATTCTGAGTTTGTCTCATAATTCTGAGTTTATATCTCAATTCTGAGTTTATATCTCAATTCTGAGTTTTTATCTCACAATTCTGGGTTTATATCTCGCAATTCTGAGTTTATATCTCAATTCTGAGTTTATATCTCACAATTCTGAGTTTATATCTCACAATTCTGAGTTTATATCTCACAATTCTGAGTTTATATCTCACAATTCTGAGTTTATATCTCACAATTCTGAGTTTATATCTCACAATTCTGAGTTTATATCTCACAATTCTGAGTTTATATCTCACAATTCTGAGTTTATATCTCACAATTCTGAGTTTATATCTCACAATTCTGAGTTTATATCTCACAATTCTGAGTTTATATCTCACAATTCTGAGTTTATATCTCACAATTCTGAGTTTATATCTCACAATTCTGAGTTTATATCTCACAATTCTGAGTTTATATCTCACAATTCTGAGTTTATATCTCACAATTCTGAGTTTATATCTCACAATTCTGAGTTTATATCTCACAATTCTGAGTTTATATCTCACAATTCTGAGTTTATATCTCACAATTCTGAGTTTATATCTCACAATTCTGAGTTTATATCTCACAATTCTGAGTTTATATCTCACAATTCTGAGTTTATATCTCACAATTCTGAGTTTATATCTCACAATTCTGAGTTTATATCTCACAATTCTGAGTTTATATCTCACAATTCTGAGTTTATATCTCACAATTCTGAGTTTATATCTCACAATTCTGAGTTTATATCTCAATTCTGAGTTTGTCTCATAATTCTGAGTTTATATCTCCCAATTCTGGGTGTATATCTCGCAATTCTGAGTTTATTTCTCATAATTCTGAGTTTATATCTCAATTCTAAATTTATATCTCATAATACTGAGTTTATATTTCACAATTCTGGGTTTATATCTCAATTTTAAGTTTATATCTCATAATTCTGAGTTTATATCTCATAATTCTGAGTTTATATCTCAATTCTGGGTTTATATCTCACAATTCTGATTTTATATCTCATAATTTTAATTTTTTTATCCCATCGCAGAAACAAACTTCCATACAAAATAGACCCTTTCAGAGTGATACAAGTCCATTTGGTCATGCTTATTTTGTAAAGTACAATCAAACTGGTCATTATCACATAGATCAAGAATTTTAGGGTCATGGCATTTAGTTGTGACCTTTGACCCGTTGATTGGTTCATTTACAGCTAAAGAAGGTTCGTTCTCTGTTGTTGGTCGGTGCGAGCGACTACGATGGTTTTTCGCAGCAGTTGCGGCAGCTGGAGGGGCCGCTCAAACTGTCGGCCAAAGATCTGCGCTCGCAGGTGGTGCGCGAGGCCTGTATCACACTCGGGTGAGTAAAATGTTTGTTTTTAGACTAAAAGATACTAAATAAAAGCTGCTTCATCTCCTTTGATTATGTTCTGTAATGTAAAGCAGTCGTATCGACTGATAGCCATTCAGATCTCTCCGGGTTGACGCAGTTGCTGGTATAAACCATCATCCCGTTCAGCCCTAGTTAAAGATGGAGTGACTGCTGAGTGTTGCTGACAGACTTAGTTTAATGAAAAGAATCAATTAGTTTAAGTGGTCTGGTTTCAAACTTTGGACAGATTCCAGCATTGTAAAATCAGCTGCCCTTCATGATAGAGCAGAGAGTGTGAAGGCTCTTAGTGTGCATGAAAACACACACTCTCATTAGACAGATGGGCTCCGTTCCAAACCATAGGCAACCGCCTTCATAGGCAACATCACAGCTGAAATGGAACCACAAAAACGACTTATTTAGAACACAAATGTAGCTCCTCATGTAAAACACACAATTAATTTCAGTTTAGCATATTAATGACATGATGCTCTAATAAGCATAAATATTGGGAAAAATAGTGTGTTTTAATTTGTATTTTAAATGTATTTTTAAATATGATATAAACACATAAAAGTCAATATTTTTATTGATTCTTCTCAGTATTGCATGAATTTTATGTGTTAATTATATATATTTTTAAATATTATATAAATATAATATATAAATAAAATTCACGAAGTGTATTTATAATCTACTTCACAATGTATCACATTGCTTCACGTTTCATGCATTATTCTCTGCAAAGGATAGATGCAATGCTTAGAATAAAATGAGGTATCTTAGAAGGCAGCATGGTTATGACAGCCTCAAAATGTTTTGAAACCGAATTTAAGTATTCTGTGTTAGTCTGATCTCTGATGTGTCTCTTCTAGGCACCTGTCGTCTGTGTTGGGCAATAAATTTGATCATGGAGCCGAGAACATCATGCCAACGTTACTGAACCTCGTCCCCAACAGCGCTAAAGTTATGGCCACATCCGGAATGGCGGCGATCCGTCTCATTACACACACACACATACATATATGGGAAGCTGATGTTCTGTGTGACACGCAGTCAGCCGTGATGTTGGATTCAGAGCGGCAGACATGATCAATAAGATTGATCTGTATGTTAGTTGTGTCTCTTCCGGTGTCCTGCACGTGTTTAGTGCAGGTTTTGTGGGTCTGATGAACATCACAGCAGTTAGAAACATCCCAGAGTGCTTCCACTTGAATTATTCTCCATTCCTGATGCTGTCGAAATCATTTTACATCAAAATAAATGATGCTGTGCAGCGCAGCTTTGGTCTGTGTGTTTGTCTGTTACGGGAGCAACTCAACCGAGATTAAACAGCGTTTATACATGGAATATTTGTATTAAGTTGTTAATATTATAAATAATAAAAATGCATATATAACATATAACATAATATTAATTATAGCATTTGTATACTGTGTATACGTGTGTGAAATAATGAATATGATGTTTTATTTATAAAATATACTATTAATTATAGTACATATACATGTATTTTTATTATTTATAATATTATTTCAATATATATATATATATATATATATATATATCGCTGTTATGAGTTTTTAGATCTTCTGCTTCAGGAGTGGCAGACGAATTCTCTAGAGAGGTGAGAATTCACCATTTACTCACCCGCATGTCGTTCCAAATTTTTAAAAATAAAGTTTTTATTTTATTCCTTGTATTTAGTAGAACTGCATGTCTTTTTCTAAAATTTGATTAACTGAGCTACAGCTTTTTAAATATTATCACTGATTCTGAATCATTTGGTTGAACTGAAGATTAACTGGTTCTTTTGAGTCAATTTTTGTTAAATGAATCATTTGACCCTGTTCACAAAACTGAATAGCCTACTGAAAACCTATTTTAGTGAGTTACTGTCAGGTGTAGTTCTGGTTTATTTTATTATCAAAAATGAAAATTTGCTGAAAAACTACTCACCCTCAGGGCATCCGAGATTAGGATGAGTTTGTTTCTTCATCAGATTTGGAGAAATGTAGCATTGCATCAGTGTCTCAGCAATGGATGCTCTGCAGTGAATGGGTGCCGTCAGAATGAGAGTCCAAACAGCTGATAAAAACATCACAATAATCCACAAGTAATCCACACCACTCCAGTCCATCAGTTAATGTCACATATTTAACTGTTTTAGATTGATTTTGCATGTAAACAGTGCTTGATCTGTGCATATTTCTCACTTGAGAGACATCCGTTTAAAGTTAAAAACGTCTTAATGATGGATTTGTTTCAGCTTTTGTCTTCTCCAGATGTTAACTGATGGACTGGAGTGGTGTGGATTATTGTGATGTTTTTATCAGCTGTTTGGACTCTCATTCTGACGGCACCCATTCACTGCAGAGCATCCATTGCTGAGACACTGATGCAATGCTACATTTCTACAAATCTGTTCTGATGAAGAAACAAACTCATCCTAATCTCGGATGCTCTGAGAGTGATTTTTGGGTGAACTGTTTCTTTAAATGGCTTGTAGCTTTACTCTTGACTTTGAGCAGATGGAAAGCTCTTGTCCAGCCCCATTTATGAAACCTGATGACAACCTACAATGACAATCGGGATGCTCAGGAGAGGATCTAGTGTCTATGTCCGTCTCATAAAGGGTCTCACAGATGAGATCAGCGCAAACACACTCAGAGTCAGGCTGACGTCCTTAATGAACCCGCACATGTTGGCCATGGCAGTGTCACCTGGCCTTCGCCAGCACTTTCCCGGTTAATGGCTGGAGAATCGGGTTTCAGCCGATAGATTGATTCCAGCTCGTGTTCTGCTGTGGTGGAGTTTGGCAGAGCCGCTGAATGGACTCACAGTTTTTATCCTCTCGTCTCCTCAGGCACGTCACCGTCCTGATGGAAACCATTAAGAAAGGAGTTCACGATGCTGACTCTGAGGCCAAATCAGTCGCTAGAAAGTGAGTCATTATGTGTTTGTGTTTAATAATTATAACATGATTGTTGATGTCCAAATCGTCTCTGCACTGATATAGACATTTTACTCAATGCCAAAAACTGAAATGCAGACCTAAATGAGCTGATTTGGGGGAAAAAATCAGGCATCAAAAAATTACAGTCAGTGTTATTTTAGTATCATTTATATACTATAATTTTTTTTTAGTATATAAACAGTTTTCAGTTTTCATTTAAATTTGAGTTAAAAGTTTTAGTAAATTTGTTGTGTTTTGTCATTTTTATTCGTTTTTTAAATATGACTAGATTTTATGTTTTAGTTTGTAATGTTGTATTATATTTACTACAGTAGTTTTTGTTAATATTTTGAATGGCTTTATTTTTGTTTTCAGTTTTAATTTTAGCTAAAGTTTCAGCAATTTTGTCTTGTGTTTTTGTCATATTTTATTATAAACATTTAAAATAATTTTATTATTAATTTTGTGTAATTTTGTTATATATGTATACACACACACATGCACATGTATACTTAATTTAATATACTTTTAAAATATATATTTTTAAATATTATTTAAAATACTATTATCATTATTTGTTTATTTATTTATTGGTGACTATGCAGTTAATGTCTATTAATTATTATTTAAATAAAAATAATTGTATATATTATATACATATATTTATTTATATTTAAATTATTTTTGTACTTCAAATTCAACTTAAAAATGAGAAATGTTTCCTTGGCATTATATATATATATATATATGAGATTTAGTTTAAGTTATGCATTTTTTAATATGGTTTTACTTTTACTTAACAATAGCCCTGATGTAGAATAGTTACTGTCGATGGATAACTGTTTAGCACTAATAACTGTGTAGCCTAAACAAATTTAATCAGAAAAAACAAGCTCTAATATCAGCCTAATTGGTCTGGCGCTAATAAAATAAACATAAGTATTGGTTGATATCAATATGGTCATTGATTATGTTGTGCATCATTTTGATAACTTGTATATTACAGCGAGGTGACAGCTGTGATCTGAACGAATGTTTTGTAGATGTTACTGGGGTTTCCACGCCCACTTCAGTAAGGAGGCGGAGCATCTGTTTCAGGCGCTGGAACTGACCAATCAGAAGGCGCTGCAGTCTCACCTGAAGAGCTCCGACAGCATCACGTCTCTGCCGCAGTCCGACCGCTCGTCCTCCAGCTCGCAGGAGAGCCTCACGTGAGAACCGCTCTTCATTAAGAAGCTCTTCTTTCACACTCGAATCTCACTCTTCATTTCTCTCATAGTCGGCCGCTGTCTGCTAAAACACCTGTCGGGAGCAACTTGAGCAAAAGTGAGAATATACATGCTTTTTTTTGTTTTATAAAAAAAATGTAGTCAAATATCAGTATAGATGTAGTCTAATAGTGGACTTCAAAATGAAGAAGATAAATGTGAGTTAAGTCGCTGGGGTATATTTGTAGCAATAGCCAACAATACATTGTATGGGCCAAAATGATAGATTTTTCTTTTATGCCAAAAATCATTAGGATATTAAGTAAAGATCATGTTCCATGAAGATATTTTGTAAATGTCCTACTGTAAATATATCAAAACTTAATTTTTGATTAGTAATATGCACGGCTAAGAACTTCATTTGAACAACTTAAAGCTGATTTTCTCAATATTTAGATTTTTTTGCACCCTCAGATTCCAGATTTTCAAATAGTTGTATCTCAACCAAATATTGTCCGATCCTAACAAACCATACATCAATGGAGAGCTTATGTAATCAGCTTTCAGATGATGTATTAATCTCAATTTCAAAAAATTGATCCTTATGACTGGTTTTGTGCTACAGGGTCAAAATGGTCTTGGATGTCTCTTTGGGGTATTTTTGTTTGTACCACAGTAATTTTCTCTGGTTTTCTCTCAGCTAAAGTGGTGAGTTCTCGCGTGTCCTCTTCGTCCGGCTCTCTCCAGCGCTCGCGCAGCGATGTGGACGTTAACGCCACGGCCAGTGTTAAATCACGAATGCCGGCCGTCCCCTTCAGCTCAGCCGCGGCGCTGCCACCCGGTTCCTACGCCTCTCTGGGTAAAACAACCAACACTTACATGTTTACAGAGTAAATACTGATGAAGAGAGCCAGACAATAACAGGCTGATTGTGTGAAATTTAAGATGCCGTTTTTTGAGGGTGGGGTTTGGTGTCTGTGCAGTTAATCTATTAATTATTATTTAAATTAAATAAACGTTATATATAGCTATATATTTATTAATATTTAAATTACAATTAAAGGGCATAAATGTGCATGTAGTATATATATTTAATTTAATTTAAATTTAAAGTATTTTTTTTTATATTATTTTTTGTTGTAGAGAGCCGAACACTCTGATAATGTGGTGAATTTTATATATTAATATATACATTTACATTTAATTTATATTAAGGACATTAACTGTAGTGTGTACTTTATAAATATATTATTTAATTT